CAGGTACGTGAAAACGGAAAAACGGCAGCTGCAGATGTTAGGCGATCTCACGGCCCTGTACCGGTTGGCCGGCACACACTCGTAGTTCGCCGTTGGGGCAGCAGCGTTGTAATTGTTGGAGCGCATGCTACCAAGGAGCTGTCTGTGTGTATGCCGACAAACCCGCTAAACGACACTGCAGCCTAACCGAGCGAAACTGCGGCTTGCCTATCAACCCACGGACCTTGAGCCAACATTCGGAACTCGACCAGTATGTGCGTCGAAGACGGAAGGTGCAGTTGATTTTTCCCGACGAGCTTGATGCCGCGGTGTCGGAAACGAGGTCCCATCCTGCCTGCCCCAGATGTTGCAACCGAGGTAGAGCGGAGAGGCCCGCGCCACCATTTTTCCATTTTGTTGTCCAAGAAGGATGCCTTGGGACTGTCTGTGCCCTGCTCCAGATGTTGCTGCTGCCCCTACCACCGCCAGTTGCGGCGGGGGGCAGCCGCAGCAACGAGAGCGGGGACAGGCCCAAGGCATCCCCGCCTTATTTCAGACAGAGAGATGCAAGTAGGGGCCTTGCCGGGCGGCGGGAGGGGCCTACCCCAAGTGCAAGGCCTGGGGCAAGCGGGATGGGGCCTCGTTTCGGACACCTTGGCTTCCAGCTTGTCGGGCAATCAACATTGCACATACCCTTTTAGGCGCGTTGTACGCACCCTAGTCGGGTCTCCAGTCTTTTTGGGTGCACATTTCGTGGGTTCATTTGACAAACCGCGGTTTCTTCGCCCAAACGATCGCGATGACCGCGGGGTCTGGGAGTGGATTGACTTTGCTGCGTCGTGTTTCGAGGTGGGGAGGCAAGTCCGCTAAAGCACGATATCGGGGAAGTGATAAAAATTTTGTGGCTCTCTGGGGCCGGCCGTCAGTCTTACTTACAGCTCCGGCACACAACTCATCACGTGCTTTAACTGATTTGCACTCCATCTGTGCCGTTGGTAGCTTACATCTTTCTGCTGTTCCTCGGCGCACAATTTCTTCGGATCTTCTTTTCCCCCAGGGTTCGATGGGGCCGGAGTTCGCCCAGATCCACCTGGTCAGGCCGCACAAGTACTCCATCTGTCTTCAGGGCCACCTGATTAGGATGCACAGCTCGGGGCTCTTGACGACGCTCGAGCGACACTGGTACGCGGTCGCGAACGGCATCCTGTACGAATATACTCCCAGAAAGGTGCGTCAGGCGGCTGCCAGACCCTTGTTCGTGTATGTCACATGAGGTAACGATCGTCGTCGCAACTGTTGGGTAGAGGTTGTAATCGAAGTGCATGAGGCAGAGGTGAAGTGGCCCGCAAGCTTTTGTCCCTGCCTGCTTTCCTCCTCGTCAAGATTGTGTCTGCTGGCTCTGTGACATATCGAAAGAATGTTATCACGAATCACGGCAAGCTTTCGATCGCTGCTGAGACAGTGAATGCGATGTTTTATTTTCATGTCGGTATTACTTCCGGTTGCAGTTTTCTACTTGTCGTACTTTTTCCTCACGACGAAGCTCCTCCCCAACATACCAAAATATCCACCCAACGCAGCCAAGCCATGACACACTGCCTGAAAGCACATACCCATACTTGTGTGCCGTTTTGTGTTTTCCATGATCGGACCTTGACTCAACACCCCCACACGCTCAGGACGCACTGCCTGACGGGTCAAACACGCCTCCGCCGCCGGCGGGCTCGAAGAAGTCTGTGAAGGGCGGCGGCGCAACCGCGAGACGGCCCGGCTACCCGTACACGTTGACGACGGTGCTGCCGCTATCGGGGGTCTCCATCAAGACGGGGAGGATAGAGGGGAACGAGCACAGCCTTAAAGATCTTCAGGTGAGAGGATCAACATCGACAGACGACACCTGCGCAAGTTTACCGAGAAAAGAAAGACACGGACGGTTGCGTGCACCACATCCTGGAGCAACTCCCGAGGCTGCTACCTACCGTCTCGCGAGACCGTCTACACCCCTGCACAGCTTGGCGCCAGCCGCGTGCGCTTGACCCTCACGCCCACCATCGGATGCCTCGTTGTGCGCCAGTTTTTTATGCCATTCCGCCCTCGGCCTCTCTCTCTCTCTCTGCGTGCCCCCCCCCCCCCGCTCTCCCACCTTACGCTGTTGACCCCTCTCTTCCTTGGGACACACGCAGGGCGCCAAACCCTGGTGGGCGGAGCCGCGACCCCAGCGGTCTGCCCGTGGTGACTGCGAGCGCCAGGCTTGCCTCCGTGCTGGAGGAGAAAACCGTCGATGAGGTGGTGCTGCAGGCAGACAGGTACGTTTCTGAGCTCCCCGTTCGCTTTCACTTCGAGGCGCTGGGCTGCTGTCACACTTTTTCGTCGTTGATCGCGCCTGTTTCTTTCCTGTTTCTGTCGTACGAAGAGCACGAACATGTCGCCTCTATCGTCTCCCCCCCCCCCCCCCTTCTGTTTCCCATGGCAGCCACGCCTCGCTGCGGGAGTGGGTGAACTGGCTCACGTCTCAGAGCAGCTCACCCAGCGGAGGAGGCCCTGGAGGGCGGGAGGAGCTCCTAGGGAGGCACCCCTACAAGAGCGTTTTTGTCGGGTGCGAGAGCCTGGAGGCTGCCGAGGCGGAGGCCCTGTGTGACGGCCTGAGGGGGGCCGTGTTTACCCGGCTGGTAGAAGAACCGTAGTTAAAAAGTGTGAGAAATGGAGGGTCTTTGTTCCTTGTTGCTGCCTTAGTTGTGACACAGGCGTCCCTTTCGAGCTGAACCATCAACGTGGCACAACCAACACAATTTCTGCTTATATTTTTAACTCAAGCAAACCGACGCTCCATAGAAGGGGGGAGGCGGGGCTGGCTCGGCGGAGGCATAAGTTAGCTTGTTTATTGTGTGTGTTGTGTTCATTCAGCAATGTACCAAATGTTAGCTTCTAGAGAGGCAACGTTTTAGATCTCTGTATGCTTATTTGTTTGTCTCGATTCGTGCGGATAGATTAGTAGCGGAGACGTGACTCTGTACCATACGTTTTAAGTACAACACGTACTGTTGGTATATTCAAACTCGTCTTGTGTAGGTACTACGGGGAATTTTTGGTTGTTTTTATGCGCGTCCGCGCCCTTGACAATGGACATTTTTATGGACAAAGGGGCTGGCGCCTTCAAGGCGTGGTTGTAAATGCGGAAGGAGAAATGAGAGAGGCACGGAGGCAGGCAGTTCTTCTGTTACGCGACAACACCGTGGGGTACAAAGCGCGTGACATAAGACTAAAGTATATTGGGCATATGCTGCTGTAACTGCGAACACACAAGCCAAAGAGGTGCATGGAAAGGGCAGACGTCGCTTGCGGCGAAGCGGGGGGTCAAGTTGCCGCCAGTAGCACACATTGAGGGCGAAGAGCATATATATGCTGCTGCCACTCGTGAGTGATCGAGGGGCCACTCGACTGTTCGACGCTCTTGGCCTCGTGACCGGTGCTCTTTTTTCTTCTTTGTGTGCTATTTCAGGCCTCAGGCTTGGCCCTCGGCGCTTAGTAAAGAGTTTAGTACCCTCTGCAACGATTTGCTGGCGGGCATTGCTGGAGGGCAATACTTTTTGTGCTTTGCAGGAAGGAACGATTAACACTCCCAGAAGGAGAAGCACAGACTTGACTCATCACTCGGGCGAGTGGCTGAGTTGGCGGACTCGATCGCGCTCGCCCCGCCCGGAAGCGCCCTCTTGACCCCTCTCATGACTCCAGGCTTTGCCTGCTGCTGCAGCTGTCGGTCGACATCTACACACGCTTATGTTGTCGCTCCCCACCTGCATGCCAACAACCAGCCGTTGAGCCTCTAGAGGTTGTGTTTGTGTGCCCTTGCGTAGGTGACTGCGTGGTCAGTCTCGGGGCCATACCAACAACTCTAACCGGCCCACGGCTCATGGGTTCATCAGTCTAAAGTAAGATCTGTATCTACTACTACAGTAGCCCGTTGCACCCCGCATGCTAACCTTGCTCTCATGCATGAAGTCCAACACGTTGCATACAGGTAGACGGTGTTCATGTAAAACGATATTCTCTACCCACTAACCTATTTAGAAACGTGACCCCCCGCCTCCCCGCCTTTCAGCCCTCGGTGGTACCGTACACACATGAAACTAGCAGCGTGACTAATACGTGGGTGCACTAAGCAGTTCCAATAAACAGGAGTGTCAAGTCAGTGGGATGGTAGACTCAGTCACACCCCCCCCCCCCCTTCCTACCCGCCCTCCAGATGTGTTTCCCTACTTTACTATTGTACCACCAGAACAACACTATCTACAGCACGGTATGCACTTTCTGCGGGAAATTGGAACCTTTTTTTTTTGCTCCTCGTGGATCGCTCTACATTCTACGTAAAAATACAAACCGCGAGCCCGCAACCGACGTTTTTCCGAATTCAACACCCGAATACGGCGCGGACTGCTGAATAATAGTCGATCCCCCCCGACCTGAAGAACAGAGCAAGGTCCAACTGTTCGCGGGTTCTACATCATCCCCGGGAAACAACACAACAGGCACCCTCTGGTTCGTTGTGAATAGTCTGCATTCCGAGCAGCTCGTAATGTTTTCGCAAGAGATCGTGGCTCTTTCTATTTGTTTGATGCTGGTCGATGTTGTAGCCAAAGTTACATCTGTACTAATCGATCCGAGAAGACCCCGCGCTCGTGCTGCGATTGAATCCACTGTGTTAGACCCCATTTCATGCCCGGCGTTAACGGTGTTTTCAAGCTCCAAGCTCGTCCTGGAATTATTTCCTGGACTAGGGGGAACCTCCTTCAACTCATCATCACGACAGTGAAAGAAACGCCTCGCCACAACCCACGGGATGGCGATCTCGGGGCACACTCGGTCTTGTTCATCTGGTTGTTGGCCTCATGAGCTGATGATGCCACGGTAACCACCGCCACCATCATCAGTGCTTTCCTTCCTCCTCGGCCTGCATTTGTGCCACCACCTGCGAGGCGGTTGATATTGGTAGAAGGCGTTGGTGGACGTGGACGTCAAGAAGCACGTGAATCTTTGTCGCCGCCACCGTGGCGTCGTCCAAATATTCCTTGTAAGAGGTTGCCGTGGTTGTGTTGTTGAAACTATTCGCTTTCTCCGTTCCGTGGTGCGCGCCCCATGCATCCCTCACTTTTACTCAACCAGACACCGTTTTGAGGGTAAAAGAGGCCAACACATCTGCCAGTCGGTCGGCGAACAACAGGCTGCTTTAGCTGGTGCGTGTCGGCAGTCGGTCTTTCATGCTTTCTTCATTTTTTTCGGGTGGAACGGGTGCAGTACAGGCAGGCGCAAATAATGGCGTTCGCGCCCTAAATTCATCCGATGACCGTGATCGGCAAACTGTTGCCGTCGTCGGCACTCTGATTAAGTTCGAAGCGTGTAGCGACTGTTTCTTGACGAGACCTCGATCGGTCGCAAAGCTGTGGTAGCGTAGGCAGGCCCAAGTCGGTCGCGGAGAAGGGGCAACCCAAAGCGGCGACGAAACAAGTTTATCCATGTTGAAAAAGTTTGCGATTTTGCTGCCATCTCGACAAAATCTAGGGCCATCGGTCATCTATCACATGGTATATGTATTCGGCGGTTCTGATGGCGTCTCTTTCCGTTCGATGTGCGCGCCACTATGAACACCAAAAGTGTGCCTTATGTACATAGTTGTGCGTAGGTGAGACACGTAAACCTAGCAGTCCGCGTCAAAAGCGCATCGTCCAATAGCACCATCTGTGTGCAGTAACAGGGTCGTGATAACCCAACAACAGAACCCCGGAAACACTGAGAGAAACATAACGCGTTTTCTGGCACCTTTGCGAGGCGTCGGGCGGCATCCTTGTCCTCCGGGTCGGCCTCGATAGCTGCGCGGTAGCACGCCTCCGCGCCCTTCAAGTCTTGCTTTACCTTCACCGTTTGGACAAGCACCAATCGTTTTGGTGGGAATGGCACGAGTGTGAGGCTCACTGGTTCGTTTCCTTCGTGAATACTCGAAGCGCATGCCACGTCACCTTACACATTGTTCGGAATCTCTACCCTGAAGGGCAGGTACTTGGGCGACAACGTATGCCGTGGAAGTACTAGGCAGGACGCTCGAAAACGGCTGTCATGCGTGCTTCACTGGTGTTATGGGCCTCTCGGTACACCGATGGTACGAAGTCACCTCGCGTCAAAGTGTGCCGTGTACAAAATAGAGGGGGCGCGGTCTGACGATCACCTAACCACCCTCCTCCAACAAGGGGCGCAGAGATAGTTCGGACAACTCAGAACCGAGAGGTTGAAGGGGGCCACAGCAGGGCCAGCTTGTTCCCCGCAACACAACCCCCGCTGAAAAAACAAAAAAACGTCGTGAATTACTGCTTCCCTCCTCCCTCTCCCCCTCGGCTCACCTTCTCCAGCACCCAGCCGAGGTTGTACTGCGCCATGCCGTGCTTTGGATCGCACTTGATGGCGTGGCGGTACTGCTTCTCGGCCTCCGCCACGTCCCCCTTGTGGTGCTGCAGGAGGCACCCGAGGTTGTAGTGCGCGTCGGGGGAGCGCCAGTGGAGGTTGATGGCCTTGAGGTAGTGCTCCTCGGCCGCGTCGTAGTCCTGACGGCGGGGACGAAGAAAGAAGGCGTGCAGCGGGAGGGGGTAGGTTGGGCTTTGCGTGTGCGACAGAATGCTTGGTCTCTTTCTGTTCTCGACAGTGTTCGTACCACTCCTTCCTGAACGGAGTTGCCACGGGCTGCACTGCTAACGAAAACGAGACAAATCTCCGGCTCTGTAATACGCTCCCCCCTGGACGGTTCACTCCGACTGTGGAAGGACCCCACCGCCAAGGGGTCATTCAGGCGGGATCACGGCAGACGGTCACTAATGCCACGATTCTCTTGGGAAGGCAACTAGAACGACGCCCCATAGGCTAGAAGGCTTAGGTGGTTCGATAGGCGGTACGAGCTTCTTCGGGATGAGAGCGCCAGCAAGACGCAAGAAAAATACGATAGCCTATTGCCTTGGGGATCCAGCTTGTGATATCGTGGAAGTAAACAGACAAGCCTTGAGTAAGAGAAGCCGAAACATGTCAAGTTTCACTACCAAAGCCTCTGGTTGTCGCAAGACGGGGGAAGAACGGCCGTCGCGTGCCCAGCCCGAGGTTCTACCACATATTTTATGTACGTCAAACCTCCCGCTGAGACCCGCAATCAGTTCCAGTTCGACGTCTACTTCGGCTCGTTCTTGTCACCTTCTGTCTGTGGTGCAAAAGGTGCCCCAGGCTGTTGTGGGCAAACGCCGCGCGCGGGTTGATGCGGAGAGCCTCGGAGTAGTGGGCTTCTGCCTCCGCAAAGTCCTGCGGTGTTTCCGGCGGTTTGGTTGGTTTTCTTAGCGGACGGTAATCGTGTGTCAGAAAAGCGATCGGCCAGAAAAACCGAGCCAATCGTTGTCCCCAATGGTGGGGACACTTGCATCGTGATGGTTGCAGTTCTAGAAAGAATAACCACTGCACGGTGGTCCTACGGCCTCAAGCGGCTCAACAGGCAGGCGGTACAAGGGCATGGGCTATATCCGAGCGTTCAGTGTTTTTCATATCTGCGCAATTGCGTCCTGACACTTCTTCCGTTGGCGAAATAACCGCTGGAAAAGCTCGAACTCTCCCGCCCCCCGGTGCTGCCTGACTCTTGACGACAGTTTCGCTTCTGTAGGTTGTTCTCGGGAGCAGCCCCCTTTTCGAATGTACGCCCCTTTTCTTGAGTCGGCCAGACACGGAAATAGCCATCGTCACCTTGTAGACCGTCTCCATCAGGTACCCCAAGTTGTTGTGCGCCACAGCATCGTTAGGGTTGGCCTCCAGCGCCGCCCGAAGGGTTTCCTCCTCGCCGGCGTACATGCTGATATTCCTCTTCGGAAACCGAAACCGAAACCGGGCGATCACAGCAAGTTGGCGGGAAAAAAAACCGCGAATGGGAACAACATCGACGGACGGTAGAGAGATCCGTGCAACGGAGGACGCGACATGCTTGCGTTTGGATAGATAGATGCACACGTGAATGGAACGGGAGGCGTTGTACGACGCGTTGTTACGTGGTGTTTCTTGGATAGAAACCGTGTACCGGGACGAATTGTACGGCCGAGGAGGCATGCATGCTCACGAGAACGGGTGGTATCTACGCGGATGGTACCGCCACCACAAATATTTGCTTCATGTCTTCGTCCGTGATACTCTGCCGTATGCCTTGCTTCTCAATGTCCCGTTTCGAAACTGAGAACTGCCCTGCGGTACTTTAAAATAATGGATGACGACCGGAACTCGGGAGTGGCGATGCATGCACTGTGAATTGCCGCCAACTACGTCGAACGGTCGGTCCGACGTTACGCATTTCTACAGCACCACCCCGCCCAAATCCCCGCACAACTACACTCCGAACCCAATCATCGTGAAACGGCTGACAGACAGAAACGGGAAGCTGGCGATTCTGTTGGCGTACCTTTCTTTGGATGAACTTTGCCGCCACTCCGGCGATCACGATCGCGGCAACGAGGGACACGGACAGGGCCACGGCAAGGGTAACGTTCACGGCGGACGTGCCTGACCCGTCTGAATCCGGCGTCGGCACCGCCACCCTCGGGTAAGCACCTCCTTCCCAAACGTCGTTCTCCTGGCGGACGTGGTGGTGGAACGGCAGCAAGAGAGAGGACACGGCAGCAGCAGCAGCATGGTTGGTCCTTTCGCTGTTGTTGTTGCACGGCCGTGAGGCGGCGCTCACGCATAGCACAAAAATACGATAACAAATCACAGAGTGTAAGGTTGCCTAAACTACGTACATAGCACCAGAGGACGCCTTCGTCCTCGTACGGACTTGCTATCAGTACCGTGCAAGCGACCAAACCGCAGGTCATTCGGCCGTGGTCGGGTGTTACTTAGTAGGTTCCCTGGTCGTCATGATTCCACAATAAGAAAGGTCTCACCTTGTTGGCGACGTACACGGTTTGAAGGTCGGGCGACGCGATGAGGGTGCTCGGCTTGAAGCTCAGCGAGAACCAGTTGGTGCTGATGACGGAACCGTCGCCGCCAACCCCGAAGTCGGCTCGAACCCAGAGAATTTTGCTATCCGACCAGTCTGCAGACAGAATGAGAATCGTTGGGTGTCGTTTTTGTGTTTCGGAGGGATTTCTTGGCACTGGGTCTGTTTGTTGTTTGCGGTTGGTACGGGGTCTTCCGATCCGACCAACTCGTACGGGAGGGCAAGGTACAGATCGTGGATCGTGCGGTGGGTTGCGTTGCTCTCTTCTTGCTGCGGTAGGTCTAGCAAAGGGTAAAACACTTTCTGTTTCCCACGAGTTGCTGAACGTGACCTCTGTCCGCCGGGAAGGGCACAGCTCTGGTTTAAGGCAGCATGCGTCAATGTTGCGTTTCCGTGTGTGCTCCAGGACTAGTGCCTACAGTACCCCCCGCTTCAAAGGCCAGAGTAGTGTGTCTGGGCATAGAGCTCTCACAAGCTCGTGATGATGATCCCAAAATCGCGCCCTCACAGGAACTAGCACACCACCGTTTCGAGGCAATATGGCTCGGACACAACTCCACGGTGAGGCATGATGTAGTTCAAGCTCAGGCGTGGTGCGGGCAAATTCATGTGGTCTCCTCCTTCCCAACAATACCCCTCCAACCGATTGTGTTGCGGGGACTGTCGTGTTTCTCTCTCTCTCTCTCTCGTTCTCCCCCCCATCTCTTTGTTGTTGTCACCCCCCCTTCTCCCCCTCTCCTTTTCCCTCACCCAAGTGAGACTGGGAAGGAATCCTTTCTTTTGTCGCTGATTGAATACACTCCTACAGTCGAGACAAGGAAGGAGCGCCTCCTGAATTCTTGCGGGTTTCCCGCGGATACCAAAAGGCGCCGATTCTTCGGTGGCGTTGCTTTACCACCACGCGTCCGGTACACACGCATCGCACAAGACGAACGGTTCTTCTGCTAGAAACAGCCGTGTACGTGGCCGGCCTAGGGCGAGAACCGAAGCGACTGACAATGACCAACAACATCCCACGATTACGTCGACAGTAGTTCGTGATGACTTCTTCTCACCTGCGACGTAGATGTCCCCCAAGCCATCAGAAACGACCAGAGCGGACCATGTCTGCAGACAATTAAAAAACACATATTCGCACACACGTAGTAAGCAAGCGCGGGACTGTAGGGGGCGCGTACTCGCTGGGTGGCTTGATTCGCTCACTGGGCATTGGCCACGCGTTGCTAGATGGATGGACCACAGGTCCTTACCTCACAGCGTACATCAAATCGTCCTGGCAACCCTAACTACACCCCGCCTGCTGCATGGGCCGTGAGCCGAGCAAGGTTGCTTGCAACGTGTTGGAAAAAGCTGACAATGATTGTATACATGAGGTGCATAGAGCTTGTGTAGAGTTTCTAGGTAACACTGCGGAAAGCGTGCGCGTTACACGCATTATTTTCTCGATGACACGGGCGACAACTGTACAATATCAACAACAACAACAACAACAACAACAACAACAACAACAACAACAACAACAACAACAACAACAACAACACGGATGCAGCCGGAACAGGCACATGCGTCTTGGCTTCAGCGAAGGCGAGCTTCACCCCGTGGCTTGTTCGGATCAATGCACGCTCGAAACGAGGAGCAGAAACATCCAATCTCTACCTTGTCGATGTTTATTGTATTTCCGTCCGGGTTGTCGGTGTTTATGAGCGTGGTCGGCGTTAGCGTGCCCGTGTCCAAGTCTCTCTTGAGAATCGAGATCACGTCGTCGCAGGAGTCCAGCCCAACGACCCAAGCCTTTCACATGCAAACACAGGAACAGCGAAGAGGGGGCGGGCATATCAGGACGTGATGTGCGCGGAGACGAATTATTGTAGGTGTGAAAGTTAGGGCGGAGGTACCACAGTTGTCGGGTTCGTTTTTCGTGATGTGCTCGCTTTGATTTGCAGCTCCATTGAGGCACACGATAGCAACGGATGTTCGCATCGGTGGTATATGTGATACTCTTCGAGTTACTCATAAACCATGTATTGCTACTCTTCGGGCGGAAGTCGTCCAGTGACATTGATGTTTTTTGCGCCTTCGTGCCTGTGGCGGCGTGCTTGCGAATCTATGTGATCAGGGGCAAAGGATTGGCCCCCTGCCCCCCAACGGGGCGGGCGGCCAGAATGTGACGAATGGATGAGATGGAGACCAAGAAGTAGGGTGAGGTTGAGATGGAGAATCAACGGGTGCTTTCGTGCATCTACATGACCCCCAATATGCCTTTTCTCCGTCTCTCCTTTGCTCACCCCGTCTTCCGTGAAGGACAGGGACTTGAGGCAGCCCAGGCCGTCGCCGTTGCGGGGGTCACCGCTTAGCTCGTCCTGGAACGTCAGGCTGCCCGTGTCCGGATCGCGGCGGAAGTTGGTGACGGTGTAGAGGCAGTCGTCGGCCACGTACACGTTCGCGCCGTCCGGGGCGACGCCCAGCCCGTACAGGCACGTGAAACCGCCCACCGTCTGAATGAAGAAGATGGAATCGGCAAATCGCGTTTGTGCGGCGTGCATGTTTAGTTCAGCCGGGGAGGGGGAGCATCTTAGTGGTACGCATTTGATTATAGTCTCGAAAGGGGTTCATAATAAATTCCGATTTGGCTGTATTTCGATGTCGCCCCCGTGTTGTGGGGTTGGCTCGGGCGGAAAATGCGGCGGCTCCCGCTCGCACGACGTTCCACACCACGCGACGAGCATGCTCATGCGCACACACCTTGATGATGGATACTTCCGGGTTCGGGAATTTTGAGTCCGGGGGGTGCGAGGGCATGCTTTCCTAGCGTGTGGTGCTGTTTTAGAAGGTTTGACTTACGTAACCGGAGGGTGACAACACGAAAATCGACACTTTCACCAAGAGTAGGAAACGTCGACCGAAGCAACACTTTCTTGATGACGAGCTTCGCACAGAATGATTCACAAAGGACGCGAAAAAGAGGTAAGAAAAACAAGAAGACGAAAGGTTAAGCTTCGGTGGTGGCGTAGTAGTTTCCAGGTCAAAATTTAAATAGCATAGACCGCCCGTACTCCATCACGGGAATGCACGCCAGCGGACCGGCTCAGCTGTTAATGTTGAGTTGGGTTGCTGTTGAACGGGGAGAATGCATGGGTCAGTGTGGCTTGTGTTGGAGAAAGGAGGATAAGGGGGGTTGCGTGGAAGGGCACATTACTACCCAAGACGCTTGTGATGCGCAAGACATGATGCGACCGGTACTACTACATCCGCTTCATGGAAATAGTAGAAGTCCTCGTTGCTTGTATTATAGGCGTAGGGCCGACGATACCAATACTTGTCCGAGCCGTGTGTACGCCGAACGTAGATGTTGCGTGCGTGCCTTGTTTGTTGTCAGACCTTCGCACCTCACGTACATACGATCGGCAGAGGTTGCTGGAACGTAACATGGTACGGTGAAGGCGACAGCAGCAGCACACAGCACAACAATCACCTGAGACACGACGAACCGTGAACCGTCGTAAGTGTAGTGGGTGAGCACGCTTCGGTCGTCGTCTATCGCGTATAGGTCCTGTTTTCAAGAAAAGGAGTCGAAACAGAATTTGAAGGGTCGCCCGCATCATAATCGTGATGGCGTTTTGGCCGCTGTATACCACGGACGGGTCGTATTCCAGCTTGGAAACCAATCCGACATCCATGCGTCCAGAGTATTGGCCGAACACTGGGTATGGGTTAGGTGTTGGTATGAAGAAAACAGAAAGAACAAGAGCAAGTGCAACAACAACAGCAACAATAGCAAAACAACAGCAAAACAACAGCAAAACAACAACAAAGCAACAACACTTACCCTGGAACTAGAGTCAGGAAAACCTGCTCGGATGATCCCACGGTGGTCATCCTCCTGCAGGAGCTGCAGGTCACCGTCGGCGGAAATGCTGTACACGAACGCACGTACCGGAGCGCAACGTTTCGGGGGAGATAGGTGGTTCGGAGGGAGGACGACGTGCCGCTATGATAAAAAAAGAGTGTACGCACCCTCTGTTTGCCCATAGCGCATCATTAGACAACTTGAACGAAGAGCCACGATGCAACTTCGCTGTACTGGGATCTCTGACAGTTTGACCTCCACCACAAGTAACACTGACGGACTGCTGAGCGGGCGGTGCCGACGAGGCCTCGACAGTGCTCTTGACTTGTCAAACCAAGGTCGCGGCTTCGCTGGCTGCACCCACCTGAAGACGCCGAATGTCCCCCTGCCGAGCCCCCGGCTGCCGAGCGTGATCAGCTTCGATCCGTCCGGCGTCACAACGATTTGCTCCACGGACTACGAGAGAAAAACATGTCAGGTACGATAAGGCAGAGAGGATCGTTGCCGGGGGGGACCAAAGAAATACGCGTGTGTCGGTCTTGACACTGGTTTGTGCTACATTGTCGAATGATGAAAGAAAAAAATGCTTGGACACTGCTTGGGAACTCTGGCAACGTTCTTGGTAACGTCTTTGGGTCTAGAGAGAAACATCTAGCCACGGGCAATAGTCCACTTTCGCCATGAGTCCACTGGGCGAACGCTTGGTTGTAGATGAGGACTACAGAAACACAGCGTGTTCGCCCGACATGGCACTCCGTCTCTTTTGATGGGCTTCAGAGCACTCCACGTGCAGGTTCTACGACTTGACTGTGCGGGCGACTGTGGTTAACCTTACGTGCTTTGGAGCTCACGCTAGGCATTCACTTTTGGAGACATCGTTTGAGCATCCTACGTAGTTCTTCATAAGAACTATTTAGACAATACCAGCTCTGGTGCATGTGTCCTGCCAGATGACAAGACAGACAATGTTGAGCGGCACATAGAAAAGTACACTGTGCCATCGCCTCGGCTCTCAAAGTTACGTGTACCTGAAGAGCTTCGTCAAAATCCGAAGCAGCCCAAGCCCTGGTCATTGTGAGCGATCCGTCTTCCGGGCTCCTCGCCAGGTGGATCAGCCCGCCCAGCTCCCCCCCGACGTACACGCCTGTCCCATCCGCGGACACCTTTAATAAATTGGGAGAGAAAGCACGCACAATCCAGAGGTCCGTGGCATCAAAGGTTTTGTCAAGTGCATTCATATTGCCGGTCAAGCCAAAGGTGGGATTCTTCCGGCCATATCCATCAACCAAGGGTGCCGCTACACCGAACGTCGCTGCTACGCGTTGGGATTTGATAGTTTCAGTGAAATCCCTCCGTGCGACCGAACAATGAGAGATAAGAAGCTGTGTAACGAGACAAAATTTGTTTCTGTCGAAGCTCTTCTCGGCCAGCGCAGTACGACGAAGAGGATATCGACATAAATGAACTCGCTCTACAAGTATTACCGAAGACGAGCGAATAGATGCTTGTGTTTTTCTCTCTCACTACGATCTCACTGCTTGCGTTTCTACCAAGTGCGACCGAATCAAAGCCAGTCTCCAGTCAAAACCGGTCGGGGTTCCTGGTTCGGCGGAATCCCTGCAGCAATCGCTTACCCCGATAGCCGAGGCCGGGTTGAAAGACGTGTCGTCGAAGGGGTTGTTTAGTGACGACCCGGTCAAGTTCACGGAGTATCCGCGACTTAGGCCTTCGTGGGAAAATAACGAGAAACGCGCATTCAGGGGTTCCATGCAAAACGAGTGAGTATTCCGCGTGTAGATAGACGGATCAGCGGGCAGCAGCGGGGCCGATGACGTCTAGCGTATCGCTGGGGCTCCTACGGGTGGGTACTGCGAGCAAAGCCAACGGAACGTCTTTGTTGAAATCGAGAGGAATCGAAACCCGCCGGACAAATGCAGCATCTGCTAGCATCGAAAAAGAGAGTACGCGCAACCTTACGACTAATACTGTAGTTTGGTGTTGCCTATTTGCGCGCTTACGGCTTTGAGCGACGCTGGTACTCTACTGCCTGTTGTCCTCGGTAATGTAGTCCTGATTTCATGCGATCAGACGCTCCGTTCTTAGATTGATATAGTGCAACATCAATTCCTCGTGAAGGGTCAGCTCTGTCTCTCCAATAAATCAATACCGTACTACACCGCAGTAAGGGTAATCTACATCGGCAGATGCTGCTTGTGTAGCACGACCCTATCGTGTGGCCTGTCCGTAGTCGTGGGTCGAATTCACATTTGTTCATGAAGGCCGGGGACATGGGTTTCTTGTGGGATGACGTCTTTATTGTCTCTGTAGGCTCTGGGCTTTTCGCTGACCGCGCTGAAAATTGAGAGCTTGCTTTGTGAGAAATGGCCCTGGAAAACGGGGAACCTGCGGCCAAGAAACGGTTTTGGCAATATTTACGATATTCCGGCCTCTCCTGTTGTGTTTCAAGAAGTTATTCCGGCGAATCTACTCATATTTCTTTTCACGGCAACTTAGCGATGTCCCCCGACATTACGCGATGAACTTTCATTGTGTGAAGGCATACGGTCCTTCCTACGGTAGCAACTTCAAAGCATTAAGGACGTTGTTGGTGGTCTTTGCCTTGTTGCCTCGCGCCAAAGTTCCTCGCTTAAGCCTTTCTGTGTTTGTATGCATAATCTAACAAGTTCATGTGTGACCAAAAGCTACTGTGGAGACGCATGGCAAGCCTTCTCCGGCAAGCTCTACGTGGACATAGCTCTGGCCCACTGGATTTCCAACCTGTTTGGACGACGCCCCCTTGGGGCAGGCAGCACAACTATTTACTGTTGTAAGTCTCTGACCACATACAGTAGTGAGAGGAGTGTTCACATTCATCGGTTCTCAAAGTGTCGAAGGTCGTATGATCATGCTCCTTGCTGCATTCATTTCTTATGGAGAAGCTGAATCCTTGACATCACTCTCACCCGTTAGGTTTCCTACTTGCTGCGCCAAAGCTCCCTCGGCCGTGAGCAAACCAACCAGCACGCCCAGCACTGCTGTGGCTGACACGGTCACCCTGCTGTTACTCTTCCGGGTCATTCGAGCCTTGCTTCTTCCACGAATAACATTGGGCAGGTCTTCTCCTCGCGGACCAATAAAACTCATTCCTTCAGCAAAAGAGATTCTGCTGCTGCTCCCACCATAAGCCGCCGCCCCCATCATGGTTTGGTGGTGAGTTTTGCGCTTCCCTCGGCGTAGACAACAATGCCGCCGACGCCGATGCATTTCCGCCAACCCCACACTACTTCCTCCTCAGTAGCAGCACCCTACCGCCACTGTATGCTTTGGTCTATTGGCTCCTGTAAACTGTTTTTTGTCCTAAACTGAACAACACGACTCTGTCGCCCGTACTGCTGTATGTTTTGCCCGCCCGGCCGCCTGTGCCCTATTAACAAAGGCTCTGTAGATGCTGGTACTTTCCCGAAGCGTGCGTCAAAGTTTATGGTCAGAAGAACCTCTCAGCCACTCTTATTTACGAGATGCATGCCGTGTGGTGTGGTGCACACGAATGGTGAACACACCAGGCGTCTTACTCAACTCCTGGTCGCACTAGCAAAGTGGTAAAGTCGTCGTATTTCGCCACCAAACATTTGACGGTTTTTAGGCGAACCGGCAGAGGAATCGCCGCGTTCGGTTTGGTTCTGATCCGAAAAAATAATCGAATATTATCTGAACCTATGAAACACTGCAGAGGCCGTTGTTGTTATCGTCGTCGTCGTCGTTGTTGTTGTTGTTGTCGTCCCTTTTCAAAAATGCTATATGCTGTCTGGGAAACCGTAGACACACAGGTACTTTCTGACGCTATGAATTCATTGCTAATCTGTCTCAGACTCTTTTCTATGATAGAGATGGATTCGTTGTGTCATACTAAAAAAAAAAAAACGCGCTGTTCGATGTTTCAGCCTCCGGCTCTTTCGCGAGGAGGGAGACCAAGGCACACAAGGTGCTGCGCGCCGTGTCTCGCGCCCAGCGCCCAGCGCGGCCGCGACGGTGGCGCAGTGTGTGTGCGGAGGTGGCGGCGCAACCGGCTGCGCTACACAAAGAATAGGTCAAATCGTGTTGGGGGGGGGCTGCTGCTGCTGTGTGCAGCTAGCTGCTGTGCTCTGTCTGTTACAGAAACCTCACCGCTACGAAGGAATCAATCTAGTGCTTTTTCCTTTCGCGTCGAGGGAGACCGAGGCACAAAAGACACTGCCCGCCGCGTCTTGCGCCCAGCGCGGCCGCGGTCATGGCGCGGTGAGTCTGCGGGGGTGGCGCCGCAACCGGCTCTGCGGTACACACGAAAAAAGGTGAAATCGGTTTATTTGGGGTGCGCTGCTGCTGCTGCTGCTGTGCTGTGCCGTTGAGGTCCCTACTCAGTACTGTCTTGGAACAACCTCACGGCTACCAATCAATCCAGCGCTCTCCTTTCGCGCGGAGAGAGACCGAGGCACGCAAGGTGCGGCACGCCGTGTCTCGCGCCCAGAGCGGCCGCGGTTGTGGCGCATGAGTGACACAGCAGCAGTAGCAGTCAGGGGGATGAGATGTTCGCAGAATAAAAGTACTGCTGCTGCTGCTGTACATACTATACATACATATATATATATATCAACAGCAGTTGTAGTGTATTTAGGAGGGGGGCCTTGGGGGGGCACAAAAAAAAAATAGTCCATCCGTTGAAAGGAAAGGTAACTTGTACTACGAGAAGAGACGGACCGGCACGATACGTGCCGGATTGAATTTATTATAGCCAATTCCCCCCCCCCACAACGCTGCACCAGTACCATTGCACCAACCCCCAGTAGTAGTGATGACGTACCATTACAATGTATCGCTGGTTAGTGGCCATGTTTGCGTGTTTGCTTGTTTGTTCGTTAGTGGTCTCTCCACCGTGTGCCTGTTTCTGCCTCTTATTTCTTGTTATTTTCGGCCTGGTCCCTTTTTGTCCTCGCTCTTTTCATTTTGTTTTCATTTTTATCATCTTCTCTTCTTCTTACTGTCTGTTTCCATTTTTTCTCTTTTTTCTCTTTTTTCTCTTTTTTCTCTTTTTCTTTCTTTTTTTCTCTCTTTTTCTGTGCCAGATGGCCTTGTCTCTGCTTGCGTTGTGAAGTAGTACCAAGATTGAACCAAGGGGGTGTACCTCTTTCTCTCCGGCCCATGATAGATAGTGACTCCTATAGTCTCAGTTGATACCTCGCATAGCGCGCAGAGGGAGTGGAGGATTCCAGAATAATAATAAATATCTGTCGTTGATTTCTTCTATTGACTACTTGCGGACCCCTCGGGGCCAGTTTATTTGAGTGTACCTTTTTAGGGTAAGTTAACCTGTGACCACGGGAATCGACCGCGTCGAGTGTTGGATCAGTACGGACATACATACTATACGAAGGTACTGGGTAGAGAGAGATCGGAACGGTTTTTAATGTGAAGACAACAACAACAACAACAACAACAACAATAGAGTCTGAGACAGATTGGCAATGAATTCATAGCGTCAGAAAGTACCTGTCTGTATGTCTACGATTTCCCAGACAGCATATATATATATAGGGACATCATCCCTCCTGTGGGTAACAGGCTCAACAAGACAGTTTGGTAGCTGTCTTGTGTGTCTCATGTATATATGTTATGTTGGGAAGGTGCAGAAGAAATAAATTTGTTAGGTACTACTACTTGTTGGTAGTCTGGCGTTTTGTGTGTGGCACCCTTTTAGTCGTAGGGCATGCAAACTCCCTCCATTTTCAAAGGGAAATACACACACAAGTGGGTATACCCACCCCTTTCTCGGACAAAAAAAGTGGGTAGTACTCGAAAATCCAGCGCGCGCGCACTCCATAGGCGACCCCCAAACGACTCAAAACCCCATTCTGACACCTGGGCGACACAGCCAGGAACCATACACAGCACGGGCATCGTTTTTATCCCACTTTTAGGCACACCTTTGGCCCTAATACCGCCGACGCGCGCAAGGCCTCACCAGAGTGCCCACTTATGTCCGACATCCATCGCGGTGGGTATACCCACCGGCGTTAACGAATTTTTTCATGTACCCACTTGTGTCTGTATTTTGACCCACTTTTGTCCATATTGTACCCACTTTTGTCCACTTACTTACGGACGGCGGAAATCGAGCGGAAATCGACCTCCACGTCACCGCACGGCAGAACATCGAATAGCCTCGGAACGTCTCAGAACCTCCCAACACGGCGGTATAGTATGTATCCATGGCATATTTCCGCGTGTTTTTATCATTCCTTAATTAAGATTTCCTATCCATGGCTGCCGACTGCGGACCGACCACGGAACATGTCAGAAACATGCCAGACCCCTTCGGTACCGGCACCGGAAGATACCAGGCACGGGAAGATACCCGCGGCAAGCCCGGCAAGCAGCGCACTACTACTAACGGTACGTTACAAATAAATGCGTGACACACAACGGACAACACAACCAACGGGTCGGGCATACAGAACAAAAAGACGCGCAAACAGCAACAACACACACACAAAAACACCAACCACCAGTACGAGTGCACACCGACTCGTCACGTCAACAGAGTAGGCTTGCCGCGGGTATCTTCCCGTACCTGGTATCTTGCCGTGCCGGTACCGAACGAAGGGGTCTGGCATGTTTCTGACATGTTCCTTCCGTGGTCGGTCCGCAGTCGGCAGCCATGGATGATGGGAAATATGCCATGGATACGTACCGTGTTGGGAGGTTCTGAGACATTCCGAGGCGATGTGTTTGTGGTACTTGGATATGAGTCCGATCTGTGCATCCCCCCGGTGGTCTAGTTGGTAACCTCGAAACCATCTAGAGGTCAGGTCAGGGGTTCGAATCCCGGCGTAGGCGAGCTTTTCTTGCAAAGTGAGTTTTTCTCTCGCCTCCGCTCCTCCTGGCCGAGTGGATAGCGCTAGTTCGTGTGTACACAGAGGGAAGAGAGTGCTGAACTCTTCTCGCATTAAAAATCGTAGGCAAAGTACCGCAGGAGGGGAGGGTAGAGAGGGACTCTTCTGTGTGACCACGGGTCGGAATAAACGGCACTAGTGCTGTGAGCGCTGATTTGAAGTGAAGAACAAAAAAAAAAAAAAAATCCTCTGTGGGGGATACGCGTATTGGAAGTATGGGTGTGAGGGTATGTGTGCGGTTGTGGCCCAAGTGCGGGGCCCCCGGGAGCACACGGCGGTGTGCTCCAAAGACTATGACTATAATAATAATGGTTATTATAGTCATAGTCTTTGGTGTGCTCCCGGCACTTGCCTGAGGGGCTTGCGTGTCGAATACCAGCTTGCCTGAGGGGCTTGCGTGACGAATATATACAATACATGGTCCTTTTTTATCAGCTGTTCCTGGGATAACATAGTCCCCAGTCTCAACACCACAGACCGCTGAGGGCGGCAGTGCACTAACACGATGTTCTGCCGTGCGGTGACGTGGAGGTCGATTTCCGCTCGATTTCCGCCGTCCGTAAGTGGACAAAAGTGGGTACAATTTGGACAAAAAAAGTGGGTCAAAATACAGACACAAGTGGGTACATGAAAAAATTCGTTGACGCCGGTGGGTATACCCACCGCGATGTCGGACATAAGTGGGCACTCTGGTGAGGCCTTGCGCGCGTCGGCGGTATTAGGGCCAAAGGTGTGCCTAAAAGTGGGGAAAAAACGATGCCCGTGCTGTGTATGGTCCCTGGCTGTGTCGCCCAGGTGTCAGAATGGGGTTTTGAGTCGTTTGGGGGTCGCCTATGGAGTGCGCGCGCGCTGGATTTTCGAGGACCCACTTTTTTTGTCCGAGAAAAGGGGTGGGTATACCCACTTGTGTGTCTATTTCCCATTTTCAAACAAACGTGTTTTCAGTGTGGTCGCGTATGTATGTATGTACCGGGTATGTATGTATGCATGTGTGCGGACACATTTATTTCGGAGTATGTATTTGCGGACACACGGGGGATTTTTCGTACCTGTTGGGATTTTTCGGAGTCCTGGGTCAGCCAAGAGCAGCAGCAAGGAGCAGACGCAGTGCAGTATACTAGTCTACTACAGTTTTCTCCTCCTCAAGTCCTA